ATGCAGCTTGGCTTCGACCTCTGAAACAACTGCTCTTGCAGCAGAATTAACCAGGTCGGTCTCTCTCCTCCTTTCAATCATTTTATCTGTGTGACACTGCATTTTCATTTATTTCTCCACCCAGCACCCCTCAGCCATTTTTCTTCAGAGAGAAGGTAAACACCGTTTTGCTTCCCTGTTGGTTTTTAAAATGTGAATGAAGTGAAGCAACAGGCTGGGAAGCATAAACAGAAAAGCGAGCGACCATGAGTGGAAGTGATACACACACTGATTGCAACCAGGCTCTCTGGCCAAATGAAAATATAACTCCCTCCCCCAAGGAGATATTTTAAAGGCTGAGAGCTAAGCACTTAAGTACAAAGGCTTTTGTGTTTTTATTGACATTGTAAGAAACATTTTTTTTTCTTTGTTACAAAAGAGCTAAGTGGTTCTGAAAGCAGAAGTACAGTTTGTATGTACACAGTGCTACAGACCCTTCAGATCAACCTAAGGCTCGAGAAACATCAGATCATAACTGCAGGTTTATCAAATGAAGACCACTAAGGCCCGTTACAGCCGAACACTATTCCTACTGTACGTAAATGTATTTACACATTTTCTTTTTTTTTAAAAAAAAAGGATTACAAGCTTTATAAAAAAAAAAAACAAAACAAAAACAACTGAAAAAAAAATGAACACATTTTTATCTTACACTTCTGCAGGACTGACAACAGTAACTGTTCCATAGGAGACATTCCACCAATCCAAGGACAATAACACGTGAATACCAGAGGTTTACAAGACGTTTTGGACACTATTAACAGTGGTATGTGCTATTAGCTGAATGGCGAGTACAGCCTCATCGGGAAAATTTGGCAACACATCTTGGTCCCTCTCTTTTGCAGGATCAACGCAAAATAAGGCACATACATTGCGAGAATATAAACACTGGTGTTCAGAAGGACGAGCCATTGCGCAACAGGCATGGGCGAGCTGACCGGCCATTTCATCAAGGGGTGGGGGGGAAGCAATGACTGGATGCAAGCAAGCCAGCCAGCATCTTAATGCACGTACCATTTGGGGCCATTCTCCAAGGAGAGCATAACATCATCTGCCATGCGGATGTACGGGGACATCATACTCACCAGCAAAGCCCTGCTGGAAGCCTACTGACTTCTCTGCAAAACCACCTTTCCTCCACGGGGGTGTACCTGATGGATGAACTCCCACTGGTGACTCCCATTCTGTGGAACGTAAAATGGCCTGGAGAAATATGCATGCTTCATGCAGGCTGAGTGAGGCGGATGCACCCAAGGCCAACAGTAACTTATCTGGAAGACCCCCACAGAGCCATGAGAAGAAAAGGTGACTTAGACTCAGGCTGCAATGCTTTAAAAATAGGAATTTCACAACATTTTCTGCATTTTCTAGTACTCTAGGGTGAGCAGTGGGTTTCCAACTGCTATGGCAATGACAGCTGATGGCCAGATACATAAAAGCAAGCTTTGGCTCTGTAACTGGAAGAGCAGGAGAAGAAGGGTGCCAGTAAACGTGAGCAATGTTGGTGGGACTTTCCCCAGACTGCCACACATTGAGAAGGAGGCTGACAAGTGAAAGCTGGTGTCCAGCCTAATAGTGCCATGCTCAGAGACCCCAGTCTACCTTATCAAAACAAAACCAAAACCCAACACAGCTGGGCTGCACTGTATTGCTACCTTCACAGGTACCAAAAACATAAACCAGAAAAGCATGAGAAGATACTAAAAGCTGAAAAGTGACACATGAATGTAAGAAGTGGCACAAACACTTAATGGTGAAAATGATAAACCATTTGCACAAACTCCCTGGGGACATGGTGGAGTATCTGGTTCTTCAATTTCACCAAAGCAAAACGGGATGCCTTTCTGGAGCATGTGGTTTCGGCCGAGACACACTGTTGGCCCAAGACTGGGTAAGTGAGTGACGAAGGTTTGTCAAATCCAGGAAGGCAAATTAGCTACTCAAACAATCCCTTTTAGCCTTGAGCAATATGAATGGCTCCTTCTAAGCTCTGATGGATCACATCTGTTAATAGCCTCCCAGCTTCAATTGGACCAGCAAATACAATTACGAACTGGAAAATTGAGTTTAAAAAAATAGTTTGGTTCTTTTTATATTTTTTTTTTAAATGTATTGGCTCTATAACAATAAAAGACTTCTCTTCCAAGCCACCTACTCCCAAGCTGGTCATAAGTTTCCCTGTTGAAATTGTTTATAAACATGTAATTGATGGCTTAATAAACAGCCAGCGATTGGTTACCGAGAGAACCAGCTGAAACACGTCCAGCACAGCCTTTCCTCATGCATACGCTGCCGTTTCTCCGCAGTGGTGTGAGCCGTATCGTAGCGCTGCAATGTACGGCGAGGCCACCCACGCATCCCTCCGCCGCCGGTGACCTGCCTGGCCGGACGCATCCCTCCTCACCCCTGCAGCAGGGCAGGGGCAAGGGCTGCCTACAGGCAGCGGGTCTCTACAGGGCTGCCGCCGGGCGATGGGAGCACAACAGGGAGCAGCTTTGCCACGCTGCAACAGCAAACCAACCACTTGCCGTGGTGAGCTGTGCCCGATTCCCCGTGCAGCCCAGGGACCACTGCAGGAGGGCTGTGATAGCTGGTCATGGGCAGGGAGGTCAGGAGGGGAACCAGCAAAGGGCAAAGAGCAGGACAGGGGAATATGCGTGCATGAGACAGAGGAAGGAAGAAATGCTTACTAAAGATGCGGAGAAAGACAACAGCTGGATGATGATAAAAACTATAGGATATTTACATTTGTCTCCACTTCCAACATTCCAGCTCACAGTGCAAATCACTTGGTACGTGCTATGATAAGCCCAAATATGGCCTCAGCACCGGATTCCTGTGATGTTTTCCTACTGATTTACAGCTTCTTCCTCTGATTCTAACAGCTGATAATGGATCAGTGTTACCCAACAGCTTCACTGAGGTTGTATTCCTATACATTCCTCAAATACCATGCCCTGAATCAGCTGGTATTTCACCTTTTTTTTACAGTCAAAAAAATGAGTGCTATGGTCTTCTAGCCTGCAGAAATCACCTTCTGGTGCTAATCCTAATTTTGACTGGGCTAAAGTTTATCTTTATTTCAAAATTGACCACACTCCCTTTTCATTGTATGTCTACTCTAGCACCAGCTCCTTACAGACATCAAATCCATGACTGTAAGTGCCTGCACCATTTACATCCTGTAGCAGCATTTTACTAACAGGATTTAACTGAGAAGTCTGGAAGGGCTGGACTTGCATGCAGCTTCTAGGAGTGGGTGAACTTAAACCTTGGGCTTGTAACTGTTCTCCATCCCAACCTGTTTACCCAGGAGCACTGTGTATTCAGGGGTGCAGACATGGAGCCCAGCACAGCAAAAAACATGCTAGAAGAGCTAGCACTTATGGAGCAAATGCCATTCACCTCTACCAGCAAATAGCTTCACGACCACAGTGTGCTAGTTCCAATTTTTGCTGGTGTAACTAAGCTTGGGCATTGACCCACTGGTTTGCTTTGAAAAGAAAAGAAATGCATGTTGGTGTCACCAAGAGAGAGAGGTTGGGCTGGTCTTTTTCAGTTTTAATTAGTTTACCAGACATACTTGCTGTTCCGCTTGTTTCTTTGCTATTTTTAATGGCAGTTTAAATGTCTTAATTTTGTAAAGCCTGGATAAAGTGGAAAAACATTTAGGATTCTCAGATTGTTTGCAATCACTTTGATTTATTTGGCTAGTCTGAGAACTGGGCCACTTGTTTTCTACTTGTTTTACATGCCACGACCATGATGCTCTTGAAGCCGTAACTGTGTGTTATGTCAATGGGTATTAACGTATTTGAAAACATACAATCCATCCCCGAAGCTCTATGTGCCAGAAGGGATGTACAAGACAGTTCTCCTGGCAAAGGAATTGTTACCTTGAATAAGAACCAGTGGCTCAGCAAATTACATCTCAACAGTTTGCATTTAAAAAAACCCCAAGTCCCCAGTATGGAATACTGCAATTTTGTTATTTCACTGTATTAAATACTCCATAAGACCCCGACAGTCTCTCCACAAATGCGGTATGCAATGAAGGCCTTATAGACTACCCAAATCACCAAACATACCCATAATTTTACTATCCAGTCATTTAAAAAAGAAGGCTGGAAAACAGAATACCAAATACTGCAAAAGATGAGAGTTGGACTAAGAATAGATTTCTGGTTCTTCCCTTCCTCTGAAATGGATTAAACATGACACAATCTCAGTATCATTATGCAAGGCAGTGACAGCTATCAGTGTGTGTGTTTACAAATGTGTTAAACATTTGCTAGGCATCAAAGGGCTGATGGTTTTACATTTTTTATTTGCCTGAACCTCCTAATTTCTTGTGCTCCATGACTCTGAAACTACAGCCTAGGGTACCATGGCAGTGCATTTCTAAACTGGTTGTCCACCTCAGTGCGATGTGTCCCATGCATCCAGAAAGGATTTAAACACTGTATGCTCACTTCACATTGTGCCTGGTTATTTTGTGCCTATATGTTTAAGGGGAAAAGTTGCAACAGTTTTACAAGGTCTAGATTCTTTTGAGTAACAGAAAATTGCAAAGTCATTTCATCAGACCTTTCTTTAAAAAAAACAACCCAAAACAAAACAAAAACATGCACTTCACACGTTTACATTGGTTTACAATTAAAAAAAAAAAGAAAAAGGAAGCATACAGACGTTCAAAAAGGGGGAGAGAGAAAAGAGAGAGAGAAGGGGAATGGGTGTGGCAATACTGATTCAAAACTGAAATGGAAGACAGTTTCTCCCTAGAACACTTTAGGGTTTTCAGAGTCCTTATTCCATAAAAGGAATATACTTGAAACACATCCCATTTAGGTGAGATGAGATTGCTAAAATACATACACAACTAAAAAATATGAGTCTTTTTTTTCATCTGTTATCTCCTAAGGGTTTTCTGGGTTTTGTTTGTTTTTTTTTTTTTTTTAAGTCTATTGCATAACAGCAAGAAACTTGCTTTCTTCTGCAAGTGAGGTCAACAAAGAGCTCATGTCCCCAATAGCCATGTTGGTTGTGCTTACGGGCATAGCTGGGAATGTAAGAGACGCTCGGGGAGTGGTGAGGCGTGAGGAATTGCGGGAGAGATTCTGAACGATACTCGGGCTCAGGGCTCCTGAAATTAAGCTGACATGGTCCCCATCATCTATGATAGCATCGAAATCAATCTGCACACCCTCTAGGCTGTTGCTGTCAATGCTGTCAACTGTGCTCGACACTTGGTTAGCCCCCGGGGAAAGAAGCTCAGATGCGTTTGCAGTAGCAGTCCCCTGCAGCAGGCAGTTAGCTTCTGAACCAAAGAAAGAACCTGTTTTCATAGCTTGGTGGCTAAAGCCTGTGGTTTGGTCATATAACTGACCAGAGTAATTCTGCACGTTAGAGCAGAACTGCTGTGATTGACCTTGCATCTCCATCTTAATGGTGTTTACCCTGTATGTCTGGTTGCCATCACTTATATGTCCTTGCTGTTGTGCCAGGTTGTTTCTCAACATGTTTTGCCGTCTGTTGCCACTGTAATTAGAGCACGGCTGGTAACTTTTGGCCACCAACAAACCTGAAGGCTGGCTACCAATGGTGTGAGACACCAGTGGACAACTCTGCGGCCCTTGATACAGGCTGCTTTGTGAGGTAGGACTAACCTGCCCTAGCATCATTTGACCGGATTGATTGACTCCCTGGTAATGAATGCCATCTCCGACTGGTTGGTTTTGCAAATATTCCTGTTCAATGATATTCCTGTTCTGCATCCCATTTGCCATACTGGTGGCTTGATCACTGGATGCCATGGGATGGCCGAAATTTTGTTGGTTCCCACTCACTGGCACGTTGCTGCTTCTTAGCTTCTGCCCTTGAACTGCCATGCCACAGGAATTGTCCATTGCCCCAGACATCATTGCTTGCCTGCCGATGCTTTCACTGTAAGGCTTATTGGGCTGCACACTGAAAGAATTACCGGCTCCGCTGCCAAGAACCGTGTTTTGCTGTAAACTGTAGGAACCATCGTTCTCCACCAGGTTCTGATAGCCATTTTGCTGGGCCACATTGCTTCTCTCCAGGTTCTGCTGCTGAACCATCATATTGTTATACAGTCCAAAGGCCCGCGACTGCTGCACCGCTGAGCGCTGACCGCATTTCAGTTTCGAAGGAGATAAGTCAGAACTTCCTGAGCTTACTTCATTCCACTGAATGGGCAAGTCGCTCTTGTTTGCCTCGGAACCTGCCTGCTGACTGCTCGGTGGAGGGGCTTGGTCAAAGTTGCTGGGGTTGTTGTTTCCTAACACTGAGCTGTGATGCATTTTGTTGCTGTCTAGGACATTGTTCAACAAGTGGTCGTACATGCCCTGGTTCTGGGAATTCAGATACTGAACCACGTCATCTGGCAGGAAATCCTCATCATTCAGACTGCCACCCGCTTCCATCGAAGCAGCCTCCAGGGCGACGTTCTCACTGATGCTTGGAGGACAGGGGGAGCTGAAGCCGCGGAAGACGCCACCCTCAGAACGGGTATAGTTCTGAAGAACAAGGTTGCGCTTTTCCATGGATGGAGGCAAAGCAGGAGGGTTAAAGCTGTTAAGACTGTTGAAACGCTGGACTCTAGGGACAGAGAGGTTGTCGGAGGCCATTCTTACTGGATCACTGGCTCTCCTCGTCCCATTTCCTAGAGCATCATGAGACAGAAAATGCCTCCTGCTGTAACCATTTGCCCCACCGTCACTACATCTTCGAGGGGCATTCACTGGAGGCAGTGGAGATACTCCAGACTCCCTGCAGTCACCCAAGAGTGCCATCCTTGTTTTGAGGCTCATCCTCTCCATGTTAGGCAGTGGAGTTGGTGGGGGTCCACCAGTAGCTGCTGCATATTTAGCTTTCAGCCTGTATTGCTGGGCCGGGGTGAGGCTGAGAAGACTTGGCAGGTCATCACACTGGCTCGCTTCACTGGAGCGCCGGGAGGCATCTGTTGAGATGGGGTCATAGGAGTCTGCAACACTCACGTTCTGCGGTCTTCCCTCCGCCTGGGAGGCATCGCTGGACCTCCGGCTGGAGAAGCAAGGTGAGATTCCAGAGGACCTGCGGCTGCTCAAGTAGGCTGAACTGATTGTGCTAGTATTGCTGTCCCTCCTGTTCAGCATGTTCAACACAGTGATGTCCGTACTTGAAAGTTCATTCCTGTTCGGCAGAATAGTTATGGATCCTCCTACACTGCAGCTGCTGTTCGACTGGGTACCTAGAGGTAAAATTCACAGTTAAACAAAGGGGCACCACCCAGAAACTGGTGCAGAAAACACCCAGTAAAGTAGTAAGGGGAGTGGAGGAAGAGCCTGCATCATCACAGCAACTCATAGCAGTGCTCTTTCAAGAAAGAAGTAGGGATAAAAACTGTGTCCTTAGGTTAAAAGCTAATTCAGAGACTCAAGAGTAACATTTCAGTGTGAATCCCAACACAAAATTTATAGGCCATAGCCACAAACTGTCATCAGCTGGTGTAGTGCTCCAGCCTGCAGTGCAGCTATGCTGACTGATGTGCCAGAAAGACACATTCATAAGGGAGCTTTTTATAGGCAAAATATAATTGAACAGGCATTTACATGGAATGGCAAAATATACAAATTGGAGGCTATTCAAGGTCATTTCTAAGACATCTTGAAATATTCTTGAACTAACTCCTAACAACTGCAAAACATCTTTGCTGGTTTCCTTGTTTTGGTTTGTTTTTAAGCAAACAGAATACATTTCTTAATTTTATGTAGTTTCTTTTGATTGAACGGGTTTCACGAAACCTGAGCTGTCACTGCTGGGTGGAGTGCAAAAACCTACAGGCACGTTGTAGGCAATGTAGAGGCAACAGGGACATACATTTTGGCAATGAGCAGCTCCTTGTATGAAAACAACTATTCAGAGTTCAATCTCGCCTTGCTCCCAGTCATGGATATCTGCCCTTTGTAGCAGTAGTATCTGTACATATGATTATCCATATGTGTGGAAACGGTTTATTTAAAGGGCAGCCCAACACATCTATGCAAAGGGTGCCTTGCTAAGGCCTCATCTGAAACACTTCCATACGATAAACTGGCAGGTATTTATTTCATCTGCCTTGCCTCAAAACAAGACAGGATTATGATGATCTCAGGTCCAAACCTTTAACTGTAGGGAATATTTAAAACATGATGCATGGCTCCCTTTCTGGCCCCTGTTCTGTAAAACATGGGACTATCAGACTTCTCTCAGGGTGGGTAGTAGGACTTGTGATGAGGGGACAAACAGAAAGTGATCAATTTATGAACCATTGTCACAGCTCCCGAGTTTCATAAGCTGCACTACTCTTTTGCAAGGGTTGCAAGATTGAGCTGGCAAGCAAGAATTTAAGGACAAAAAGTGTTACTGCTCCTGTTATGTGTATCTCACCATTTCCTATGAGAGGCGGCAAGGTCGGGGCTTTGGAAGGTGGAACGGGGTTCAGTCTTGGAAGCATTCCATTAACTTGTTTCAACCTTTCTAATTTCACTTGCTCCATCCATTTGGTCCCTGTCATATTCCTCCTGGCCTGTAAGCCAAGTGCTGTGGTGGCTGTGGAAATGGTAGAATCCATGATTGGGGTTTCGTCGATGACACTGAGGTCTCCTACACTACCACCACCGGTCAGAGTAAGCTCGATCCCATTGTTGGAATAGTTGCTGATGGGGGACTGTTCGCTGCTGCATGTAGACTGACCACCAGGGCTTGGCTGAGATGTCTGTTGGAGTGAAGTAAGTAACAAAAGAACATGAGGATTAAGCAAACAATGTTAACAAGAGCACTTGCATCAAATGTGGGTCTAAATTGAGCCAAAGAAAACCAAATGTAAAGAAAAGTTTAGCATTAAATGATTACGGTGATCATTCATTAGGAGGCTTTCTAGATACTGATTTTAACTGCAGTGAATGCCATTGCAAAACTCGAGATTAAAGTCCACTTTAATATCTTGCTGATAGTATACATTATATCTACACAGGACATTTATTTCAGTTATTCCCATAATTGCTTCTACCACTTCATGTCATTCGTGAGCATGTATGTATGGATACTTTAACTTGGATATGTGCTGTTCCCAATTGAAGCTGCAGCTCAATAAACCAAATCAGAATTCAGCCATGTTACGAGGTCTAATTTACACTGCTAGGCTTGCAGCAAGCAAACAAACAAACAAGACTCCAACAACACTGGAATTTGGGTTTTTTTAATTAGACTTGTGGCTAAAGAACGTACGTGTTTTCCAAGCTTAAGGCTCATTGTTACGAGCAGTGGTTGGCCTGAAATGTTGGCATGTAATGAAACAGGGACAGAGCGTCAGTGAAAAAAAATACTAGATCATACTATCAGCGTCCTGTGACCCTAGCAGCACTAGGGTCTAAATTATACTTCCTCTTATACCTAACTTATACCACCCCTGCCCTGAATCAAGAAGGCGATTATCTACTCAATCAAATCCTTTGTTTCATTAGAATTTAAGATTTTAAATTTAAGAATTTAAGCACACAGTACAGGCTGCTGCTAATCTACAGGGATATAAACCCGCCACAATAGCTTCTTCTTTCTTAACAGACAGTGTTCCCTGCTGCTCTAGCAGAATTCTTGCTGTGGGGAAATACGGGCTTGATTTATTTTTTATACTCAACAAGTTCTTGTAAAAGAATGGGAAAATTTCTCTGACAAACTGAAACACTCAGACAGACTGACAGACAAAACAGACAGCAAGACAGACAGAAGTCTCTGGATGTAGTATCCCACTGTAGGTTGTATCAGTGTGATCACAAATCAGCGGGGCATGCAGTATCATTTTGCTCCCAAGAACAGTTTCATGTAAGTAATTCACTTTTGGGGTTTCTGCTGTGTTTTTGTTAATTTTCTTCTGCCAGCCTGTGATTTTTATGTACATTTCACCGACAAATGCTAGCTAGATTTCTGAGGTAGCAGTGATGGCTCTCACTTTTAACATCAGTGAATGAAGACACAGATTCACGGCACTACTGTAGCTTCATATGTCCCTGAGGAGTCTATTAAGATGCAATAACTACTTTATTATTTCTAACTTGAATGATGATATTTAGAATTTATGAGGCTACACTGAGCAAGTTCATTTGCAAATCCTGGCCACGGCACATTTGGTGACAAGAATAGAAATAACAGTGATTATACAGAAGAGAGTTTGTGCTTCTGGACAATAGCTCCATGCCATATGAAGAAGAGTAATAATGGTCAGAAGCCTGTTCTTGTAGCCACGTGTCAAAATCACAGTGAGGCAGGTTACAGAAATAAGAACTGTGTTATGGGGAACATACATTTCTAGATGTGCAATACAGAAAAAAATGGATGTCTCATCTAGAGGGGAAGGTGTGAAGACATTTCTGAAGACATTTCACCAATATAAGATTTTCACATGTCAAGTGTTGCAAAATGCTCACAGCACATTACATTTGGGAATGAGTTTGATGGATTGCACATTACTAAATAAAGGAATGATTGGACAACAGGCAGAAGGCTAAAATAAAGACATAAATAATGTTGCAATAAGAAAAACAGCAGAGAAGTTAAAATGCCCTCACCTTATTACCCACTGTCCTTAGGAAGTTAGAACAAGACATTTAAGAGCATTAGACAGAAAAGACATTGGATTAGTTAAAAAATAGAAAATATATCTTAATTCATACAAGCAATGAAAAGCAGGAAATACAGAATTGTTTTTAGAAGATATTTTTCAGTGAGAAATACTTAATACTATGTAAGCAATCAGCATTAATACCCCTCTCCTGCAAATTTTATTTATGTTAAAACCATCTACACTCAACATGCCTCAATAATGCTACAGATTTACTTAGCTAAGCAAGAGAGGAATGGGTTTTTTTCCTTCGTAATCTATGGTAGCTATCACCAAAGATGGCAGAGGATCTCCTTTAGACTTCAGTGGGAGTTAACCCTGGGGCCTTGGAAGTTTCTGAATTTAGGATTAATACTCCACAGTTTGGGTATAAGCCTTAGGCACAATATAGCAGTTAACTTGTATTTCAGTGAGTAATCACTTTGAATGGGAGCATGATTAACAGTACAAGCAGAATTTGGAGGGCTCATATTTGTAGTTCCCAAGGGTTGGGTCCAGTTGAATTGTAGACCCAGATTTGGAAGAGGATGGAGTGACTGCCTTCGCTAGTTTTAAGCCTTGTGGAGAGGATGGATGGCACACGAAATACAGGCAAATGAAAGAAGAACTTCTTTATTTAAGATAGCATGTCAAAAAATGGAATAAGGTCCTTTCAATGTTCAAGGCTATACTGGTTTAATGAAATACATTAAGGCAAACCAGTGAAAAGACCTGCAGAGACTCTTAGTTCAGCTCAATTTAGTTAAATTGGAATTAGGTTAACTTGGTCAAGTTAAATTAAGTATCAGATTAACATAAGAGGTCACATCACGATAGAGATCAAATGTTATCAAAAGATCTCCTCCTGCTGTTTTAGAAAGTCAATTTATCCTGCTTCAGTTTGATCCATGACCCGACAACCTCAAGCCCCTAAAATCTGATTGTTTCCCCAGGTTCTCCAAAAATTATCATCATCAATACCATAATTTTAGTCTTTTGGACTTGGTTTTTTTCGCATTCTGGTTTTGAGCCTGCAGGATTCACGTTCTCTTAACTTCTGTAAACAGGAGAGTGGAAAAAAATGCCTTTTTAAAAATGAAAACTGTGATTTTCTCATAATATGCTGATTCCAAGAGATGGAGCTTTAAGAGAAACAATTATTGTGAGAGTTGCCAACACTGCACTTACTGCATATTGTACAGACTAGATGTAATCTTTTTATTTGCTATTTCTTAGGCTTTGAAAACATTTTACAATGTAAACGAAAAAGAAAACCTCACAAAACCTAACCTTGTGAGCTAGAGTTTATGGGCTTGAGCATTTCATAAAGGGATTATTAACTGGTTGCAAGAAGAAAAAGGACAAAGGGAGCGGCACAGTGTGTTGCATACCATTGGTTTTTCTGACTTGACCGCTTTCACTTGGAGGCATTCTTCACGCTTTGAGGTAGTGTTGCTGAGGTCCTTCTGCTCACCAATTGCACCCTGAGTCTGATGGCCTGGTGACCGGGTCTGAGAGTGGCTGCCTGGGTCTCTCGGTGGCGGAGGCCTTGGGTGGATATCTCCCCGCTGCTTCTTGGTGACATGTGCCTCTGGGCCATGCACGGTCTTCACGTGTTTCCGGAGAGAACTGGGGTCTGTGTAGCGCTTTGTGCAGCCTGGTATCTTGCAAACATACGGTTTCTGCCAAGACAGGAAAAACACTTGAATTAGATTTAATTCCAAGTGGGACTCCTGAAGAGCAACTTGGAGCACAGCTGGTGTTACAGTTACACGCTTTCACGGTGAATCTGTTATCTCATTTATGGTCTTTACAGTGACTGAATCACAGAATGGTTTGGGTTGGAAGGGACCTTAAAGATCACCTAGTTCCAACCTCCCTGCCATGTGGAGGTACATCTATCACTAGACCAGGTTGCTCAAAGCCCCACCCAACCTGGCCTTGAACACTTACAGGGATGGGGCATCCACAACTTCTCTGGGCAACCTGTTCCAGTGCCTCACCACCCTCACAGTAAAGAATTTCTTCCTTACATCTAATCTAAATGTACCTTCTTTCAGTTTAAAGCCATCACCCCTTGTCCTATCAAGTTGTGACTGCACCTAGTCAAACCTATTAATTCCCCTTAGTTGTGAAGGTACCCATTAATGCTGCATAGTTTACAGAGGGCAGAGCCTCTCATGATATGAACTGGCACAGCTCTGATTTATCATAGCAGAAGAATCAACAGAGCCATGGCAATTTATGAAGACTGGCCTAATTTTCTATCCTGTCCATTGCCCTCAGCAGTTTGATACCCTGTTTCTAATATGCCCAGTTCCTACTCCTTGACATTCAGAGGCAAACAACCCCCTTCAAAACACGTTGGGACATTTGTTCAGGCAGAATTATCTGAGGAAGCATTTTTTTCCTGGCTCCTTCAGATCACCAGTATAATGTCAAAGCACAGGATACAGTACCATAAGCATTTTCACGATGCAGCAATATAGGCGCTACTACTATTAGTGCTGCTAGCATAACTAATCACTCAGTTTTTTTTAAAGCTTGCTTCCTTTGTCTGTGAATTTCTCTAGTTCACTAAGCAATGTAGAATAAAGTAAATTTACTGTCTTATAATTTAATAAAGACTTTGTTCTTGTATTATGAGAAGATTAGAAAGAAGAGTTGAGCCCTTCTTCAATTGCCTCAGGAAACAAAGTATCATTCACTCACTTTTATTACTGAATTGTTACCAAGAAACTACTATTTTAAAGTCTTATTTATACTAGCCCTCAAGAAAAAAAAAAAAAGGACCCTCATGCGGAGTTCCTCAAAAGGGTTCTCTGTCTGCTTACACGTGGCACTGTGGAGCCTTTGACAAATGTAGTTTTTTCATGAATGTCTAAGGCCTGAGCCTGCTTCCACTGATGTCAGCAGGAAAACACTCCCATTGACTTGAATATGAGCAAAAATGTCAATCATGAGCAATTTAAAGTTGATGCTGAGCTACTGAGGCAGGTTTTCTCAAGATGCCATGGAAGTATGAGTCAGCTAGCTCTCTTCTACATGTGTAAGGCACACTTGCATCAAGATATATCAGCTGCTTTTAAATCTGTCTGTAGGTTACCTACTTACAACCAAAATGGCACTGCGAGGAAGTGCTGAATCAGGTCTGCGGTCTCCACAGGATTCATGGCAGTCCATCAGTATACACTGCCTAAGAATATTAGCCTGTGTCTTTGTGAAATAATGGTGAAGGAAATTTTTCATTTGCCCTTGCGGCTGTACCTACCAGAAATGATGCGCAGCAGAAAATTTTTCTTGGTGACTTACTGTTAGACATGAAATCCTGATCTTAAAAAAGGCAGTATGGGTCATGTCTTTAAGTTTGAGAGGATCTTACTCATCAACTAGGCAATAAACAGATTGGTTCAGACACTGAATGAAAAAAAAGCTCAGTCAGCTATTGGTGAGACTTGGTGAACTTCCTTCTACCTTGGTGACAATTCACAAAATTGCTGCTGGGCTTCAGTGCAGTTGTTAGTTGGGCTGCTGAGAGCACACACTGCAGGCACAGGGCAAACTCAGAGACGTGCAACGCTCTCTGCTTCCCTTGTGACTCAAGAGATGCTGCAGGGACCAGGGGACTGGAAGAAGATGGATGCTCCCAGGAGATTCTGCCAGCCCTAGTGAATGCCTGCGACAGACAGCTAGAGAAGGATACAAGCCTTGTGGAAATGGATAGAGCTGCTATGGTTTCCACACCACACAGTCACCATGCTGGTTATGTCCTGCCCTTCCAGTACTTCCAGGTTTAGGCTAGAGGTGAAGGAGTATAGGGACAGGTCAAGGAGGAGAGACTGGGCTCCAAGATATGAGACTGAGACGATGTCACTCCCTGTGTAACCTGAAATAGGGCAATAAAATAGGGACAAGGCAAGAAGAGGCAGGGAAAAACCATCCCAGCTTTTCAGGGAAACCATGTGTTTCCATTAGACCCCTCCTTCAAACCTCTCTTACACTTAATAAAATGACCCGCAGCCTCTCTAGGTGTGTATGACATGGAATGATTGTGCTGGTAAAAGCCATTTAGAACTTACATTCCTTTCAGGTTGCTGAGGGTTTTTGTGCCTGTCCTCTGTAATAAATTGCTATGACCACATTGTAAGTCTGTTCAGCGCCAAATTTTATTATTCTTTTGAAGCTGTGCTTACTTACCTCATTGGAATGAGTCCTGTTTTGGTGCTTGGCCCTGTCGGACGCGTTGGAGAAAGCTTTGTTGCAGCCTTCATGTTCACACACATATGGTTTCTCTCCAGTGTGAGATCTCAAGTGCGTTTTCAAGTTTTCTAGTCTGGAATAGGCCTTTGTACAACCTTCAAACTGCAGACAAGTAAGTCTGGATTAATTTTAATCTTTGGACTTGCAGGAAACAGTAAAAGCTGACCTATAAAAGTTTAGAAACTTTCCAAGCCTTCATAACCTTGCCCAATGTAACTTTGTTTTGATTTGTTGGATTTTAATTTTACCCAGGCAAACCCCATCACAGTTCAAGTTAAAATGCTTCCAGCATTATCTAAATCTTCTCTTACAGGAGAGCACAGTATTTGTGTACATCGTCTAAGACAGAAATCCATTGCAAAGTCATTAGGAGGCTGGTGGCCAGCAATAATACCCAGCTCTGTAAAACGAAGTGCTTTTAAATAATTAAGCAAACTCAGCCCTGTTTAATAATGTCTTTTGGGGCTTCTTTGCACTTTAAACTTGATGAAGTGGGCCAAATTATCCAGTGAATCCCCCTTCCTAAAGCTCTTGTCATCTGGGTGAGCTCGATCAGGAAGCAGACATGGTATTCTCTTCTCCAACAAATGTCTGACAGACAAGAGATCAGGGAATGCAGCATCTGCACTGCTCTGTTCTCTGCACAGCCCCAGCAACCCTGTCCAAGCCTGGAGCTCAGCCCCCTTTACTCACAGTGCATTTGTGTGGCTTTTCCCCTGTATGTCTCCTCATGTGGACCACCAGCATATACTGGGCTTTGAATGGTTTCTGCTCCCGGGAACAGTCCAGCCATCGGCACACAAACTCTTTCTTTTCACCGTGTATGTGGTCATTGTTTATATGCTGTTTGGGTAGAAGAGAGATTACAGCTTTACAGAAATGTAACATCGTCATCAGCCTTACCGTAACTTTGCATTGGAACAGCACCAGAGGCTCAGGTGTGAACCAGGATCCCGCGGTACTGAAAGAGTAAGAAGATTGTCTGCGCTCCAAAGCAATCATGGGGTTCAAATTACAGATCCCATTGGAAGTCCACTAAGGCCCATGAATTTGTTTCTACTGACATCAACGGGCTTTGGATCAGGCCTCAGGGATACAGGCTGTTAAATGCATCCCAGACAATCTCATGCATGGCACCACTTGCATGATTCACATTGAGTAATGCTTTCTCGGATCAGGGAAGCCTTACTTAAGTGCCACTCAACACAAATAAGGTTTGCAAAATCAGGCCTTTAAAAACATGTCCTGCAACCTGAAAAATCAACAGAACTGTAGTTTCCACCAAAACTTTTAAGTCACTCCCCACTACCCATATTTTCTTTCAGTAAAGGTATTGGGTTAGCGTACGCGTTGTGGCAGGCAAAACAAAACCCTACACACTGCAGTAACAAAAAACTCCAAGCACGAAGCATCCATCAAGCCAGCTTTTGCCATTGGCAAGTACAGTTCTGCCTGAAAGTCTCTGGGAGTGACACCTGCCCCAGGCCTGTTGACACACATGCACATGTCTTGCTGTGGCTTCATCTGCGTGAGTGCATCCAGAGAGAGGCTGGGGCTGTGTACCTTTCACTCTTCCAGAAAAGTAGCTTGCTCTGTTCCCTTCACTAACATCCAGTTCAGCAGAGCATTTAAATATGGACTTAATTCTCGCTGACTGTGTTTCTGACCAGAAACGGGCAGATGAATCAGAGCCAGCCTCAAGATTGCTTTGTTTTTTCAAGGTTTAACTGTATGAATTTTTTGCACAGCTTCAGAAAACAATGAAAGCGCCCTGCACCTGGCCTTTCAAAGGTTTATGAAGGCTGGAATTTCAGCAGGAGCTACCTGACTCATCCTCCTGCACTCTCTTGGAGAAACGCTGCCTCAGAGACTTCCCCGGTGCTGTACCTTCTACCACAGCTTGCTAGCTGTGCCACTAGATGGCTGCATTTCTCAGCAAATGCGATTATTCCATTAAGGTACTAGACAAAATCCTTCCAGAGTTTATATTTGAACACAGGACAGGGATGAAATATGTATCTACTCTGTAAGTAGCTCACAGAAAAAGCCAGCCGTACAGAAACTCAGTAGTTCATACTGGAACACAAAGAAGATAATCCCAATCTTTTCTAAACTCCTGAAAAAAATCAGAAAACCAAATAAAATCACTCATGTTCACCATTATGCGGCATCACCGTGGCAAACACATGTGCATTGCCTATAAAAGATGACTGCTCTTTTTCTCTTTCTGAAACTTTATTGCCATTTCTTTAAAGTTGTGATGGGGCACAGAGTGCATGAAAAGAGCAGATGTGCTGGACAACGTACAACATGTAATCTGCAGGAGTTTATGTTTCAAGTGCAGATGTCTAGTCCATTTGTAACTACACACGCCTGTACCAAAAAGCGTACAGATGCCCTGCGCTGTGAAATGGCATTGGAAAAGTCCAATGAGGTTAACGTGCACTCTTCTTTCCTGAATGAGAAAGAAGTAACGGGACAAAACTCAATGCATTGAAGTAATTCTTGGCCAAATTTTTCTGTAAACATTACAGACTGTGAGTTAACATGGTTAAACCTACATGGCCAAGAGGGAAATGAAAATTGAGTGTGTGACACAGGCTTTCCCTTTGATACAAAAACTTCAAGACTGGTTCAATCAGTTCACAACAGCACCTCCCTTTACCTCCCACTGTGTGGACACCCATGGATGCTCTCTTAGAGAAATTCTCAAAGGACACTTTTTCTCTTTGTCCCTGCAAACGAGCTTCCTCCTTGCCCTCCAGACCTCTAGCCTTTATCAGCGTGAGCATCCTCTAAAACTGGCCTTTCTCATGGGCGTAAAAATCCCTTCCTCACCCCCTCCCCAGCCCAGGCTCACTGCAGCAGCTGACAAAGCTTGCCCAGGATGGTGACTTGATCATTCGCCTCTCTCTCCGTCACTCCACTGGCTCACCTGTCAAGTATCTTATGATCACCCTCAGGTCACTGCACAGCTGTGTCCCTCCATACTTGTCTGCCCTGCTCTCTTATCCTATCACTCCTTTCCTATCCCCTCTGCTCTTCCTACAATCAAACCCCTCTTTGCGCCATTTTTTCCCTCATTGCTCTGATGCTCCAAGAGGCCTCTGAGAGCTCACCTGCAAAGCCATCTCATTCTCACTCAATCCCTCTGAGTATCCTCACTTTCAGGTAAAGCCTAGAAGAAATGAGCCCATGACATCATCTGCTAATCTGGGTAATTTCTTTTGCTCCCAGGTGAGCTGCTCAATTGCTTTTTTGCAGAGGGGTGATATTTTAGCAGACCTATAAATGTGCCCAAATACTAGAAGGCTGCTCTGGAAGAAGACACTTGCTAGACATTAAATCAGCACAAGTAAGAGGCCAAGAGCAGAAACCAGCAGTGCGCTCAGGTAAGGAGATTCACAGCATTTGTAATCCTGACCATGTAGGCTCACTTGCTCAAGCTGTGATTTGAAAACTGATCAGTCATCTGCTATGGACATGTAGGCAAAACTATACACATATAAAACAGGACCTAAATCTACATCGGGATTTTTTTATCATTATAATTTGGCAGAAACAATGTACAATATTTACAACACGTTTAAAGGAAGAGGGAGGTCTCACTGTGCAAACAACGTCAATTAGAAAAGTTCAGAAGTTTGTGAACTCTGGCATTCAAGTTCTTTGACTCAGATAATTACCTTTGGATTTTGCACGGTGTTTTTGGCTCCCTGGTCTCTATTATGAGAGGGAATGAATAGTTTTGAGCTTGTAAAACAAAGAACAGTCAGGAATAAGAGTATTATGCAAAGCAGAAGCTTTGGTACAGTACAATAAGGATTTATAGGGTTTCAATTTATAATCTGTTTGTAACCTTATTACACCCATGAAATGTCACATTCCAGGGACTAGATCAGAAGGATTTTTTTTTTTCTGGTGAAATTGAATTTTGATGCAGTTTCAGGGTGTGAAAAGGCTTCTCTTTTAATTTTGTAGACCCAAACCTGCAAGTTTTACTTACGTTGGTAATCCTTATTACAGTAAATAGGCACATGAAAGCCAATGATATTACTCCCTAGTGTCAGGTTTGCTAACATAAGGCTCTGAAGCACCAGCTCTGTATTATTAAGAATTTTTGACCTGAAAAAAAAAGCCCCCATTAAAAGCTGGAATTCTACTAGCTATCTCCCACTGCACACAGCTCCAAAAAGCTGCTAAACAGGAGTCATTTGCAGAATACCAGTCACTTTCATGCCACTTCAATGCTCATTACCAAACCTCAGTCTGTCCTGGCTCATTTTCTTTTCTTTAAAAAATGTTGCTATTATCATTTGGCTCAAAAATACCCTAAAATGAACAGAGGGAGCTGACCTAAATACTGATTTTTGGTCTCAGAATGCCCTGGCTTTGAAGGAGGAAGCTCTGAGATGAATTTCAGTTCCAGAGCAAGAAAGCCACCAAATTCATTGAAATCAAGGCTGAAGTTGGCCTGTCATCTTTACTGGGGAAGCTCAAAAAACAGACAGCACAACCTGCAGTGTCCTGGAAGCATAAATGCTTACATGGTAAGAGATGCTATTTGAAAAGGGAACACCTTAAATCATATGTGTTCTCATATAATCAACGCACACCATACATGCTACTCCGTATTGCAGCAGATGATGTGAGGTAACACTGGAAGTAGGATCTGCAATAATCTTAGTGTTCCATTTCCCTCCTCCATGTGTTTTTTAGAAGAAAGCATATCCTAGCTGACTGCTTGCTACCCATTAACTATTCAATACATAAACAAAAGCCAAATGTGCTCTCACAGTAGTCAAACAGCAGGAGGAAGGCCTCTTCATACTGGTGGAATGAGTTAGGAACAACACAAAAAGAATGATTGTCACCTGCAACTGAGATTGCATCTGAAAGCAAAGTGTTATTTGGTGGATAAAGCAGAAAATATTTGGAAAATCTCCTGATTCTGCCTTCTAACCCAGACACGCTACCCTAGCGTATGCTAGGAGAAAACTGGGAAAAGACCATGCTGTATTGGTATAATGTGCTAAGTTAGTGGCACAACGGAAGGCATATCACCATTGCCAAAAATTGGTTTAATTTCAATTATACAATGACAACTTCGGACATTTATCTTCTCACAATTATTTCCCTGTATTTTAAAGATTTAAAAAGGAAGCGCTAAATAACTTCTCACTAAATCTCACTACTGACAACAAGCAGAAGCAGCATTTAAGCCACTTTCTAGCATAAATCTCCCCCTGGACTGTACTGCCACAGAAAGTCCCTCAAACCAGCAGAGCCACTGCATTTGCTGTGCAGGAGATGAAGTGCGAATGGCGAAGAGGCATCGCAGTGGAACGGCTGCTAAACACAGCTCATCCCACAGCTGCACGAGGGAGTCGCGGAGCCCATGGGCTGCAGAGAGGAAACGTGCAGAGATTGTGTCCGGCAGTAACAGACTGGATAGCTCTGAGACTGGTTTGGAAGGGGATTAGCTGTCCCTGACCCGCAAGTCCTGCAGGGAACATGCTTATTTATGTGTTTTGCATCGGGGATGTAGATTTGTCCTTAAGCCCACATGCAGTTAGAAACAGGAGGAGGGTTCCTGGTCATCAGGCCCATCCCTCGCTGTGGCAAGCGCTGCTACACATAATCCTGGTCACGACAGGAGCAAGCTTCGTCTTCTAAGTACATTGGTGATCTGCTCCCTCTGCTCCCAGTGGAAGGCTCTTCTAGGAACTCACTCCTCTGCTGGTTAGCAACTAATTTCTAGCTTTGATTTATTCACAGCCAATTTATATTCATTTGTTCTTGTGCCAACACTATCCTTTAGCTTAAACAGCTCTGCTTCCCCG